TAAACGGCAAAAAAGGAGCGTAGAGCTCAGTGGGAGGAGGATGTGGTAATGGAGGGGCAGAGAAAGCTCCTGGCTCCTTTACCTGTTGGACTGATAAAGAAATATAAGAACATTTAAGGAAATTCCTTCTATAAGTATCGGGTTTAGTGCCAGCTAAAATGTATTCATGTTTTATTGCAATCAAACTTTTAATCTCTGAGTATCAACCAGAAGGTTACATTTTTTTATGTTTCCAACTGCCTGTTTTTGTACAATAAAGCCTAATTTAACAAAGTGAAGACCACTTTTAATTCGCAAAGCTTACACAGAGGGATTCTCCATGGTATCTATAAGGGCAAAACAACTACAAATATTTTAGGACATTTGCACAGAAAAAGATGAATGTAGCACAGAAATGCAAACAAAACTTAAAAAAAAGGAAACAAACAGGCAAACCAGTCCACTAAGAGATGGGATGAGTCTCTCTGTTAGAGGTTTGGCTTCCAACTTCACCTGTTCGTAAGAGGCCACAAAGACTTGTCCACCAATTAAAAGCTAACTTGCAGTAACATTATATCTTTGTCACTTTTTACAATTGCTAAAAAAAAATATTTAGTTGTTTAGTTGCTAAAAAACACCTTTTACTTCAGAAGGACGCTTCTGTTCCCTTCATAATGCTGATTGTTTTAGTTAAAAGAACTTCTGTTTCTCAGGACTGAGGCAGTTTTCATATGAATATATTTTAAATATGAATAGTTTTTAAATGAACTCAATTTCATTTGTAAGATATCTGTATTTTTAAATGCAACAGTGTTAGTGTTTTAAAATGGGAGCTCAATAAATGTGAGATTGAGTTTGCTTCAACTAAATGTAAGTCTACTGAAGTATCTAAAGTGATTAAAAAAAAAGGAAGCTCTCGAAGGGGTATGGTTGAATCTAAAGTGTGTGTACTATATATAAAGCAATCAATCATTCTGGCTACTTTTCACATACAAACCTTTACATAAATGGTATACAGATGCCTGATAATCACAATGACTGAAATATTTCTTTTAAGCCTATTATTTCTGACCTCTGTTGCATCATTCTTCTTTCTACATAATGAAATGAAAAATCTAAGAGTCCCACAAAAACATAAATCATCTGCTTCTATTATTTCCATAATTGCCAGCATTGTAGTCCTGTCTGTAATGTCATTAATAACAAGCGTTTCCTTATAATACGCTTAATGTTATTTATCTGTTGGCAGATAGCTTGATGCTGCTAATCCTCATTCATTTGCTGTGGATCAATGCAAATCCGCTAGCATGAGTGAAATCCCGCCCCTCCCCTTTGCCAGAGCTGACGGATCCTAATGTATTTTCCCACCATTAACCAGCCATAATCCCTGCTAATCATCACTAATCCACATTCTTCTGTGTGCGATGATACTTCCCTGATGAAGGAGGCATTGGTGCTCACTGGTGCACAGGCAGTGTTGAAGCTGGAGCTCCTCCAGAAAAACTGCTGAGGGCCCGTTCAGTGCAGGAGAGCAGGTTGCAGGGATGAGAGGACAGGAGAGGATGGACTGATGTGATTAGAGGATTGAATTTTTGAAGAGTTTTGCAATGTGCTCTGCTCATGAATTACAGCTTTAATGGGACAAGAAAGCTTATGTACCTCTACAAAGTGTAAGCTAACATACTGCACAGTATCAGAAAATAACAGCTAGTGAGTATAACAATAATCTATTTAATCTGTTCCACTGTACTCCGCCATGGACTCGTTTTCTTTAACCAATTAGTCAGCGCTGTTGTACTCAAATGTTTGCTATCAGCTTAAACCCATTCTTTTCATGTTAAAGTGATACACAAAGTTTGAAGGCTTGGCCTTCATAAATAAAATATGTAAAATGTCTTCTTAGACTTAATGCCAATTAAGCTGCACTGCACCTTTCCATGTCACTGCCTTTTGCAAAAGGACTTTAAAGTGGTTTTCCTTTTCTGCTACTCTGTCTACATTATGATCACAGCTGCACTTTATGAATAGTAAAGTCCATTTCACTGTTGAAGCTGCTCATTCGCTGTTGAAAAGCTGTATGCTTTGAAATGTTGTTTTGTATACACTCTGTGCACACAAGATGACAATAAAGTTTGTCTAAGTCTAACAACAAGAAGAGAGTAAAGTTGATGTTCCAGGTTTTTGCAGATGATAAGCAGATATCTAATATTACATTTTTCTACCGATTCAAAGAATCATTGATGACTGTTTAGAGTGTCTCAGAAATCTAGACATGCTCAATTAAGAAATACAGATCAGACATGGGCCATGTGATTCTCTGAAAGGAACATTAGGTGCTTAAGAACTTAAATGTCTTATATTTAGAGCACCACCAAAATACAACAAATTATAATTCTAGTAACTTTTACTGTAACTTTAAGATTTCTGGGCTGGAGTTCTGTCTCTTTCAGGAATAATTATATTATTTTACTGGTTAATGAGTCTAACATGTCTTTAGGCTGAAGTCTTTGTGTGTTATTACTTTGACTTTTGCACATCCCAGACCACTCAGAGAGACATGATTATTTATTTTATTGACAAGTAAAAAACAAAAAAACAAAGAAAACTACCTTTAACTATTATGAAGGATTATTATGGATTGTTTAGGAACCTGATGACAACTAAGAAAATTTTAAGTTATACAAGCAAATCTCTAGTTTTGCAGACTTTATATATTTCTCCTTAGTTTAAGGGCTTTGAGTAACATTGTTAATAGAAGTATGAAACTAAGATAGCTAAACAGAGGGCCTGCTTAATTGGCTTGCAGCATCAATTTATGATGATGATGATAACAGTTACAATTTATATCAAATTATTTAATTGTATTTTTTATTATGGTATAAATTACAGAACAAAAGTAAAAAGAAACTTTAATATCTGAATGTATGTGGCGGTGAAAATGCTGCCTTTCAAGAACCTGAGATTAAGGTTCATTCTGAGGAACCATAGTTTACCAGAAGGTGGCGCTTTAGACTCGCTGTTGTTTGGAAAACTGGCGCCCACCTTAACGTGGCATCTTTAGGCAAACTGACCACCTCACTCGTTTAAAAAATACGCATTTTTAAAACTTGGTTTCCAGAGACATAAACTGTAGGGTGTACCTTTATGTAGTTCTTTGGAATATCAACTTGTTGGCCCAAAAGATGAGCAGAAAACCAACTTTGAACCTGAATAGAGCAGGGCCACCTGAATGAAGAAAAGATCCGCGGATTATGAGTTTCATTTCATAGACGCACAGATAACTCCTTTATTCAGAATATGAAGTTAGTTCCAGATACACTTTCAGCCAATTTTCCGGTCTGAAAATTTGCGGAGAAATAAAACAATACATTTTCACTTAAACCCCCCAAACTTTCCGAAATTCAAAATGTCTTTTAGTTTACACGCTTCTTTTCATTTGTTTATGTTGCTGTTGCTTTTAGTTTGCTTTATTTTAATATTTATATTTCCACCTTTGCGATTTTTTCCCCTTTTGTGTTGTTTTTGAATGAAAATTTGAAAATGTGCAGGAAGAAAATCAAAAATCAAAAATAAAAAAAACGAGCAGGGCCTGTAGTTTATTAAGTTTGGTGTTTTTTTTGCTTGATTGTTAGCCTATCTGCGCTTACGTATTTTATTAATTTATTTTTCTTTTTGTATCTCTTTATCCAATAAATAAATAGAAAAACACCAGGCTCTAACGTGGTGCTCCTTTAATTTAAGGTAAATGATTTATAAAGTAGGCCTACTAGAGTTAAAATCGCTACAGATTGTAAATCCCTCTTTAAATCCTTTAGAAACTCCAGGCCTTTAGTTGCCTTTTTCTCACTCTTTGTCTTATCTGATTTAACGCCTCGAGGTATTTTTCTCTGTCAGATCAAAGATTCATCACAATTATCATTTAAAAGCCTAAAACCTATCATTTGATTGTTTATAGAGGGAGAAAAATACTTACAATTGGAGACTGTCTATCCTGGCCTTTTCTAAAGGATATTATTAAAAGCAAAAGAATAAGACAAAAAAAGACAATAATTTCGTATTAATATTGCACAATTTAATTCTGCGTTTACACAAAGATTTGAAGAGCGTCACAGACTGAAGTTAGCAGGGAATGCCTGAGGTAAAATACTGTTGTCAGTTCCCTTAAACAGCACATGTACACACAGCTTCTGCTTTCAAACGATGCCTTGTTACATAACCAATCACTGCTACCTAAAGAAAAAAAAAAAAGGAAAAAGAAAAAGTCTGATCTGCCTCAGCTTCATGTTTGCCTGCTGATGCTCTACAATAAACGGCAACAAAACAGCGACTGCTTTGGATCCCAATGAAGACAAAAGACCATTTCTTGTATATATGTTTTATGTAAGTAATAAAATATTACTATAACATAAATATAAATGTGACTTTGCAGTCTACATTTAGCAATCAACAAACAACCAATGTCATTAAGAAAAAATAAAACAAAAAAAGGAAATCCACTGCAACAAAACCATCAACAGAGCTAAACAAACAAAAAGAGCTCCAAACACTTTTAAGAAATAAATATTTATATATATAAATGGTCAGATTCATAAAGGAAATCATATTAAAATATCTTCTTGGAATTAGTAAGTGTACAAAACTGCCCGGAAAGAAACAAACAAAAGTAAAGAACAAAAACAATATCTCAGAACAAATACAAGTTTACATATTAGACATATTTACAGATCGGAAATAATCCTGACAACATTTTCTCTAAAACGTTTCTTTTTAATTATTATTCTCGTTATTTTTTCTTTAAAAAAAAAGAAAAGAAAGTATCCCTCATCTGTGTTGAAAAGCACTGCTGTATTATTTATTTTCATTCATTTGTTATATTTTTTTTTTTTTTTTTTTTTTTTTTTTTTACTGATCCAACACTGAGAAATGACACATCGCATGAGAATTCAGATTTCCTTACAAGTCAGAGGAGAAAATAAAGGTTAAAAAAAACAAACAAACATTGTTTTTGTAGACTTTTTTTCCCCCAAGCAGATCCTTTTAAAAAATTGCTAATTTTCTATGGAACAAAGTTAATTGTGGAAATGAAACCGGACCCAAACGGCAAAACATGTACAGGCGTGATATATTCTGCAGTTACCTGAGTTAGTCCCCGTTTTTACTGTTAGACCAAATGTTTTCTTGAAACGTTTGAATTCCAGCTGATTAGCAGACAGTGTAAGGGGTGACAGAAAGATTATTTTTATAAGCAGTCAATAGAATAACAATAATAGAAAAAAATGAAAGAATAAGTGCTTAATTTAAAGAAAAAAAACAATAAAACAATATAAAATACGAATTTAAAGAATTATCCATTTAGCGTCTGATGCAGTTTGCACATTTTGACGAGATCAGCTGAAAAATGTTATTATTTTTATTTACTTCTAGCATATTTCTTATTACTAAGGCATGCCTTTGCAACTTTAATCGTTCTGCATCGGGCTTTAGCTGAAATGTATCTGACATTTTTAACGAGCTGTTCAATATCGAGAAACGACTTCCCAACATGTATACACCATCAAGGATACAAACAAAAATAAGACAGAAACAGGATGCTCTGATGAGCAAATTATGAAGAAAATTCGAAACACTTGCAGATAAAGACACTTGGGCAATTATTGGCAAAAAAACAAAAAAGTGTGCACTCGTATTTAGAAATCTGGTTGAGCAATTTGAGCCTGAAAAAAAGCGCAAAAAAAGTTCATTCATCTCCAGTGTTGATCATTTTAAATGATCACCTCATTCTGGTGATGTCCAAGAGTTCATGGTGCACCAGGAGGAGGAGATCAGGTTCAATATTTCAAAACTGCAAACTTTCCATCTGATACACTTCTCCTCTCTTTGATTTTAGTAAATATATCTTTGATTTCATTTAACAGGAAATTTGATTTATTGATTTTATTTCAGTTTTCCTATCATGATCCCGTCTGATATTTATTTTATTGGACTTAATTTCCGAAAACTAAAAGGAAAAAAAATGGATCCAGTGTCGTTTTTTTCTGTCTCTCAGCAAAACAGTTCAACTTAAATACTGTAAAACTCCACGTGTCCCTTTCTCTTTTTTTTTTCTTCTTTCTAAATGCTCGGATTGTTCATGAAAACAGTCACTGCACAGGACTCTGTAGTGTGCGGTGTAGAGGAGGGGTCTCTGCCTGGGAATAAACGTCCTCCATATTCGGGTGCGGGACCCCAACTGGTGTCATTCTTTTCTCTTTTTGTCTTCTGTTGCAAAACCAAACGCGGACCACTTCTTTTTCCAGCTGCAGAGTGCCGGCTAAAGTGCTGATTTCATGAGCGGATGGCTTTGGGCATTTCAAGAAGTGGTTCTCCAGCGCCCCTTTCACCCCCACCTCAATGGAGGTCCTCTTCTTTCGTTTCCTGCCCTGCGCGGCGATCTTGTCCAAATTGGTGGGGCTGCCGGTGTTTGAGTCTGTCTCCTCCAGCCACTTGTTAAGCAGTGGCTTAAGTTTGCACATGTTCTTGAAGCTGAGCTGCAGCGCCTCGAACCTGCAGATAGTGGTCTGAGAAAAGACGTTTCCGTACAGGGTGCCCAAGGCCAAGCCCACGTCCGCCTGAGTAAAGCCCAGCTTGATCCGCCGCTGCTTGAACTGCTTGGCGAACTGCTCCAGGTCGTCGGAGCTTGGCGCGTCCTCGTCCGAGTGGTCCTGGTGGTGACTGAACGCTTGCTGGGGCGATTCCATCTGGTTATCGTGGCTGCCCGTCTCGTCGTGGAGCGGGTCCCGCATGCCGTGGTGGAGGGCACCAGGCTGCGGGCTTAACATCGCGTTGAGGTTTGTGTATCCGGGCTGGGAGTAGACCAGCGACTGGTGGCCGTTGGACGCAGGGGACAGCGGAGACAGGTGGTGCGTCGTGGCGGGCGCCCACGAACCGTGGTGCGCGCTCTGCGTCTGCTGATGCACCAGGTGAGATCTGTGGTGGAAGCCGCTGCTCAGGTCCTCCCTGCTGGCCTGAACCCCGGCTTTGTGCTCTTGCTGGCCGATGTGAGTACCGCTGGACCAGTCGGTGTTGGAAGTGGGCAGCCACTGGTGGTGCGTGAGGCTCATCGGATGCCCTGTATTGGTGGCCGCGAGCCCCTGCAGGTACTCGTGGTGCATCATTTTCTGCACCTCTCTGTAGGTCGTACCCTGGTGCATCCTGTCCGAATCCGGATGCATGAGCGGGTTGGACGGTAAGGAGTTATTCCTCGGGATGTACTGAGCTGTTGTCGCCATGGCTCCAACTTGGAAAACTGACGAGCGCTTCGGAGGTCTGCGGGCTTTAGAGCCAAAAACGCAACAACCTGCTCTGGGAGGTCTTCGGGAAGAGCGAAGACACGCCTCCCCTCAGCTTGTATTGGCTCCTCTCCGACTCAAACTCACTGGAGAGATACTCAATAGGCGCACGCTTTCAGAGGACGGTGCGCGATGGATGGAGGTCCGGTGTTACATATGTTATAGAAAAAACATATGTTCTACTTATGAAATGTCTCTTTGAGTTTCAATACGCACCTGCTCACATACTCTGCGTGTCTTCTAAACGTTTGCAGTATAGTAGTTGGGCAGGAGCTGTAGCAGCGGTGTCTGATTGGGTTTCCACAGGTTTGGATCGGTTGTTTTGCAAATAACCACGTGGGGGAGTAAGGAGATCTTTTTGAACCCCCCCAACCTCCACCACCCCCTGTCTCTGAAACACACTCACACACGCGTGCACCTTTACAATAGGTCACTGATGATTATAGCGCTCCTCATTTGAACCAGATTATAAGCGCAATCCTCTCCAGCTCTGGAACCGACAAAAAAAGCGCACAAATAAGCTGCTGTGATGCGTCTGTCTGTGCTTTTTGGAAAAAAAAAAAAAAGAAGAAAAACATGAGAGCATTTGCTCTGTTTAAAAAGGCTCAGCATCTGTCATTTATTTGTATTGTCTCCAGTAATTTTCAATGTTGTGTGATCTGATGATCACCACCCACTTAGAAATGATAGGCAAGATGCTTACTCTGTTTTGCGCTCTTCCCTCTCTGCGGAGAGCAGGTGAAATGTTTAACAGGAATTAAGTACACTATTCAGTCACTGGCATCACCTCGGGGTGTGGGGTAATGGGGGGTAAACAGAACCCTTTAATATCATCATGCTATATGAATAATAAACTGATTTTTTTTAATTATTTTTAATCTTTACAAGGGAGAGTGTAAGCTTGATAATGTATCTGATTTATTTACTTTCCTCCAAAGTTTCAACTTTTGAATGTTACTTGAACTCCGACCTTTACTAAATAGCAGCATCATAAAAGTCTTGAAATTGCATAATGCTGTGCCACCCAAACATTAAAACAGGCTACCATCTGCACACTTCCTGCATGCGCTCCTACATGTTTGCACCGTATTTTTAAATGGAGGTGAAATTATAACAATCTATGAATATTATCTACAAGACAATATAATTAAATTTTCTCATAATCTCCGACAAGATGTTCAACTTGACTCTTGCAAATTAAATATATATTTATTTACATATATCATGTGTCTTTTGAAGCTTTGCAACTTAAAGACATAAATCCTTTTTATTTTTTTGTTTTTTGTGTTTTTTATTTATTTTTTTGCTCCTGGCTTACTCTTCTCTTCCTCACTCGGTTGATCTGATTATTTTTCCCTTCACGTTTTGTCCCAATAGCAAATTACCAATTCTATGAATTGCAAAGCAGCCTCAGAGACGCTGAAGGGGTAGAGAGAGGAGGGAGAGGAGGTGGTGGTGGTGGGGATGCAAAGATTGAAAGGGATCTTTGCAAACACAATCACGTTCTTAAATGGAAATGCGGGGCTTTAAACAAATCTTACATCTCTCCTCTTCCATTCGCCCAAAACTCTGCAATCAGGCGCATGTTCCGCTGCCTCTAAAACAGGAGCTGCTTTTTTTGGGGAAGGTCCCATTTTAATCATTCACCTAAAAGCTATGTTGTTTTTTTCTTTAGCCTTTTTTATCTCAGCCCCATGCGACTGTTCTTTTTTTCTGTTTACAGGAGTTACTCGGCTCTGGGAGAGGAGGTGGTGGTGGTGGGGATGCAAAGATTGAAAGGGATCTTTGCAAACACAATCACGTTCTTAAATGGAAATGCGGGGCTTTAAACAAATCTTACATCTCTCCTCTTCCATTCGCCCAAAACTCTGCAATCAGGCGCATGTTCCGCTGCCTCTAAAACAGGAGCTGCTTTTTTTGGGGAAGGTCCCATTTTAATCATTCACCTAAAAGCTATGTTGTTTTTTTCTTTAGCCTTTTTTATCTCAGCCCCATGCGACTGTTCTTTTTTTCTGTTTACAGGAGTTACTCGGCTCTGCTGTTCATTTTAATCCGGAGCTTCATGACTAAACGGTAAGTTGTCTCTTTTCTGCTGTGGATGCGTCCTCGCTTTACCCTTGTCTCCTACATTAACTGTGTAGAGTGCATCTGCGAATGTGTGTGTGAGGGTGTGTGTGTGTGTGCAAAACGTTGGCCGGGTCACAGGTGCTCGTCATCATCTCCTGAAAGGCGTGGTTTTTTTTTTTGCCCACGCGTCCTTTACAGACATTTACTGGAATATGAAAGACACTTCATGTATCTTTTCGCGTTTTACGCAAATTATAAATTGCTACCTAGAATCGTTATCCTTACAGACATAGGTCATGCGCTTACTTTGCTGCACAGTCCACTTTAAAACCAACTGAAAGTGTCAATTTGTGATTTTTTTAATGGAATAAAATAAAGGTAAAAAGCCTTAAATATAGCACAATCAGCTGTTAAAAAACAGAAATAATGTAAAATATTTCCAAACATTCATATTTTGTGATTTTTAAAACAGCAAACTTAAGAGTTTGTGCGTAAAAACCCCTAAGGGACCTTCTGAGTTCCTTTCTCTGAGGGACCCACAGCTTCACGCAGCTCTCAGTTAATAAAGACGCGTTTGCCATTCATCCACTCTTGTCTCCTCTAGTCTATAAAAAGCGCCGGTTTCTGCCACACAGACCCAGACTTGTGCTTTGCCATGCCAGTGACGGGCTGCTGGAAAAGAGAAAAGCTCCAGATGCTTTGGGCCCTTTTTGCAGAGGAAAGAATACGGCCTTGTTGTTGTGCTGAGGTGCATTTTTGCCAGGACGCACAAGGTTTCCATGGTGCGCCCGATGAAAAGGGATCACACAGAACTCAGCTGTGAAGGGACGGGCCGCACAGGGAAAAGAAGGCTACAAATGAGCGCGATATGATGGGTTCAAAAAGAAAAAAAAAAGAGTGAATAAAGGATGAAAATACTGAGCGCTCTGAGTGTGAACCGCGGAGATGAGTGTTGAGGAAGTTGGGTGACCTCCTTGAGGAATAATAAGTATCCTTTGTATCTGCATGACATCACGATTTTTGATTTAGTCGTTACTTTTTATTCAGATTTTCCCTGTGCCACAGATGTAGGAATTAGTTAGTAGAAGATAGCTGTGTGATTCTTGAAATTTATTGTTATTATAATGCAAATGTTTTACAGGTTTCTGCAATTTATAGTTTGTATTTCAAAAAAGCTTATTTTTCGTTGTCGTATTAATGTCATCACAGATTCTGACATATTCAGTTATTTAAAAATAACATAGAGAGGTACGAATCAATCTTGAAACAAAATACCACCTTTATTCAAAATGTACAGCTTTTAAACCCTCAATAAGCTTAAATATTTGTCCACTGACATAACTAAAGGAGTTCCCCATAGTTATGGCATATTTTGGCTCTTTTCTGGAGTGCCTTTTTCACAATATAAATTCAATTATGTACCTTTTTTACTTGCATAAGGCAAAACTAAGAAGGATGCACAAATGGGAATTACCTGAAAAGAGGCCAGGAATGTGGACAGTAACAATTTGCCAGAATATATCGCCACAGGTGGACATTATCAGAACTTATCAGAAAAGATCACCTTCTCCTGCAGGAACAGGGCCTGCCAGGAAGCCTCTGTTTTCCAGTCATTCTTGAGCCTCAGTTGGCTCCATGAATGTAGCTCAGATTTACTGAAACAGCAGCATCCAATTTCTGAAATTCAAATATGATTTTTTAAATTTGGTGTAGGCCTACAACCCATCAATCCCCCCTTAATCTGGTCACTACTTCTCTAAACTTTCTGTAGGGGTCCTTGGACTCAGCTTCAAAGTAGATCGATTATACTTTTTCTTAAGTCCATGGGGGGAATTTGGGGCAGCAGCAGGAGTGTGTTTACATTTTAAAATTCATGTGATGTACCTCCTGCAGTGAGTAGAATAATATTCCAAGTTGTTCAATCAGATAATTGTATTTTGTTTTCACTTTTTTTTTTTTGACAGACATGCGTAATAGGCACTAAATATGCAATCGCCAAAAGAAAAAAGCTGCCGGTTGGCCATCCATTTTCAACATTAAATCTTCTCTTTCTTTTCAGGTAACTTTTTCCCTCTTTCTTTTTTGGCTAATGAACTTGGGCTACTCTGCCAGCATCCCCTTGAGAATGCAACTAAAGAAGCGGAGGGAGGGGGGCTTCTCTTGTGCTAAAAGGTGCGAGATTCTTCCTCTATCTCCCGGCTAATTAGGCGGGGTCTGAACACGCCAGAATGAATATTCATGAAAAGTACCAATGTGCAATTAGGAGAGGAGAGAGTTCCCAACTTCAATCCCAAAACAACGCAAGGCTTGCGGTGGAAGCGGGCTAGAGTTCCCCCCTCCTGCTCCATGTGTCTTTACTGCTGGAGCACTCTTTGAGCCCTCAACTTGTACTCGCAGAGCTTATCAGCCCGTCTCCCAAGCCCCCTCCTCTCCAAAGCAGTCACCATCAAGTGTTTGGACCACTTCATTTGAATCTCCATGTTGAGAATAACAGCTAATCCAATTAGATTTGTCAGGGACTTCTAAGGTGGCCTGAACACAAAGTTTTTTTTTCTGTTATGAAAGCTATTTTAAGGTCTTTGAGTTCAAGTTTTTACACCTTAAATTCAAATTAAATGCATTTTTTTTTTTAGAAAAAATACTATAACTGCACTTTAGATGTAAAATTCTAAAAACTCTTAACTGAACCAACATGGGCAGAAGACGGAAAACAACAACAAATATTCATTAAATGAAAAGGGTTGGATGACGCCTGTGTACAGCAGCCTTGTTCTGTCAGCGAGCCCCAGGGAGCCCGTGGCTACGATGTAGCTTGCCACCATCAGTGTGTGCATGAATGGGTGAATGTTTAAAGTGTAAAGCGCTTTGGTCAAGCCTCCTGACCTGACCAAAGCATTACATGAGTACAGGCCATTTACTATTTTTTAAATAGTTTAAAGCAATG